TCTTTCCCTTGGCACCAATGTACTAGGTACACCATCATTTCTCTGGCTGTCTGTCAGGCATAAGAAATGCCCCAGAAACTACCAACTCCAAGTGAATGCAGTTTATTCCAGAGGGTCACAGCATCACCTGAGGAACTGACAAAAATTCCTAAAGCTCTAAAACTCCTGTGGCTGCTCAAAACTAGTCTTAGCTTTGGCTAATTATTACATGTCAGCATTCTATAATATGCTACATCGGTCCCTCTCTCATGTGTGGGCTAACACAGTCACGATTTGTGGAGCAGGAAGCATCACAGAGAAGCTCTTTGATCTGCTACTAGAGATGGCACTGTGCCGAGTAGGAGCACAGAAAGGATATAAGGAGTGCTCAATCTTGCCCACGCTCTTAATGACCTTATTGAGCCTGTTCTGCATATCCAGGAGGAGGTTGTACCAGCTTTCAGACAGCGAGGTCACCAGCCCTGCAAAGGATGAGAGGGCAACGAGATGATAACTCCCCATTGTCGAGTCCTCCCTGGCAGCCCTTAGGCCATCAGAGCTCTTAATAGGTAGGTTCAGTACACAACTGCCATTGAATTTAGTGCAGCCACTGGCCAGGCTAGACATTTCTTCCAAGCCATACTAGTGCACCAAGATCCCCATGGTACAGATTTCAGCAGCAGAGAAAGGGACATACACCTCCCCCAGGTGGGGAGCTGGTGACTGTAGTGCTTTGGCAGGCTCTTCCCTTACCAATCATCCCATTGACCGTGCCAAAAAGCACTGAGCCCTGTGTTGGTGTGGACGTCTCGCCCAGGTTCTGCATGACCAAGGAACCATGGCAGAAAACATTGACGAACTCCCCCAGGTGAAACAGCCCCACCTCCTGCAAGTGCTGGCGTTCCTCATCAGTTGTGGCGGCACTGAAATACAAGGCACTCTGGTAGGTAATTGGAGCGAGAGAGAGAGAAATGCCCCTTGCCCTCTGCCTGTATGCTCCTCCCACATCAACACATATAGGATCTCATGGTCACATCCCCACATGCACAGAAGTGAAGTCCCTGCCTGCTAGCATCAACCAAGAAAAAGGTGCCATGAGAATCCTTGTCCTCTGCCAGGCATTGCATTATGCCCAGAGCCAACTTACCTGTCCTTCTGGCACACAAACAGGTTAAAGGCGTTCTCTGCTCCCAAAAAATTGTCATCATCCAAGATCTCTACAGCACTCATCCAGTTTGGATTAAAGTCTCGGGCAATCTTAAAGGGGAATAATGCAAACCAAGAGAAATAATCAGAAATCCCAGAAACACTGTTCTGCATATTTTTTCTCCATATCCTAAATGAAGTCCTCCCACTCTATTCAATACCACAGCGGTATTGGCCTGAAAGGCTGGATGATAAAGTAACGTAGGAAAGGTTAACATCAGTCCGCATCAGAGCTAGAGAAGACCTTTGTACAGATGCACCGGCCCCCTGGGCAGTACCAACATGCTGCTTGCTCAGGGGAGGGGCTTCACACCAGTATCCCCACAGAGACGACTTTCTCAAGAGGCCCAGGACAGTGTAGGCTTTGGATTTGATGGGAGGCTGGTCTCTGGACCAGCCTGAATACAGGTATTCATACCAGAATACAGCCCACAAAGGACGCTCCTCAAAGAACAAGGATTTGGGCTGGACAAATCACACTGTTTACAAAGGGGCCAGGCCTCTACAAGACATCACCTGCACTGCACGGAAGGAAGCCAGGGCACCTCTCCCCCAGCACCACAGGTAGAGATCAAGCATCACCCGAAGCTCCCTCTTCAAGGCCTGTGACAGATTTCCCAAGCAGCCTGCCTCACAGGGCCAGCAAGAAAGAAAAGGCCAAATTCTCCTCTCCTTCCATCATCCCACAAGCTGCTCTCCAGTCCCCTTGTTGCAAGAGATGACCTAGACTTTCTGCCCGTTGCATCAAAGGTAAAAAGAGCACCAATACCTCCTCAAAGTTTCCCTCCATTGGCTTGTAGGCTAGAAGCAGGACAGAGCGCATCAGATCTCCAACCAGAATGAAGTCCCCCTTGGTCTTCACATAGAGAGCCATGATGTTGTTGTAATGGTTACACTCTGTGCGCAGCTCCTTTTCTGCAGTCCACTCATACAAACGGACCTGAGGGAGCAGATGCACAAGCCATGAGCTGAAGACCACAAGGGCACATTGCAGAACACTCACACCAGAGAACACAGGAACACTTCCAACTGGTGAAATGGGCTCCCTCTTCTGGAAGAAGCTCCTCTCTGAGGTCTTACAGGAGTCTTACCGTGCTGTTGATGCTGGCTAAGAGCTTGCCATTGAACTCCACCATAGAATACACAGCCCCTTTCACTTCCTTCTCAGCCAGACTCTGCAGCTTTCCTAGAATGCACCAAAAGATTGATTTGATTACTGTCTCTGCATGGCACTAGACACTCAATGGGACCCTACTCTGTGATACAGAAGCAAAACTCATTTCTCAGACAGTTTATGAGCAAACTGTACACTAAGAACAGCAGAGGAGAGGCAGGATAAAAGCTTTTGGGTTAGAGCTTTTGGAAGGGATTGCTATGCCCTGCCAGAAGAGGTTAAGTTATCACAGCTTGGAGTAAAGTTCATAGCAGTGGCACCACCCCATAGCCTAAAGATCCTTATGACAACGCTTTTGATACAGTCTCCCACAGCATTCTTGCAAGCCAACTAAGGAAGTATGGGTTGGATGAATGGACTGTAAGGTGGACAGAAAGCTGGCTGGATCGTCAAGCTCAGCTTGTAGTGACAATGGCTCAATCTCTAGTTGGTGGCCGGTATCAAGCGGAGTGCCTCAGGGGTCGGTCCTGGGGCTGGTTTTGTTCATTATCTTCATTAACAATCTGGAAGATGGGATGGAGTGAACCCTCAGCAAGTTTGCAGATGACACCAAGCTGAGGAGAGCAGTAGATACAATGGAGAGTAGGGCTGGGACACAGCGTGGCCTCGACAAATTGAAGGATTGGGCCAAAAGAAATCCCATGAGGTTCAACAAGGACAAGTGCAACGTCCTGCACTTAGGATGGAACAATCCCATGCACTGGTACAGCCTGGGGACTGACCTGCAGGGGCCTGTGAGAAAAAAAAAACAAGGTGCCTGCCACCAGCAACACCCTTGTATTCATGCCCATACCATTAGTCATCTCCCTCAAACAATGAGAGAACTGATGGAAGATGAAATCCCTCTTAGGAACTAAGGCATCTTGCTCTTACCATCAGAGTAATGGAAGACAACAATGCGGCCCTGCTTGGGCTCCGCTTCCTCAGGATACACCATGGCTGTCCCCACGATGAAATATGTGTTGGGGTCCTTACCCAGCTTGCAGGACACCAAGCTTAGGGCATATTCATTCTGCAGGAACTGATGAGCATGCAGCACTGAGTATTGGAAAAGAGAAATTGGGTCACTGCAGGAAGCCTCCCCATGTGTACATCACTGGGGCAGCCTGCTCACATGCCCAATCACAGAGACAAATGCTATCCTGGAAACACCTGCCTCATGCCCCACGGGTTCCACACCAGTCTCTCTCCACTGCCTTCACTTAATATCAAGATCTCAGCCTCATGTCCATCCCCTCCTGCAGACTATTCCATGGCTCCCCAGATCTTTCCAAAAGAAGCTTTATCACAAGGAAGAGCATAAGGTGACCAACCATGACACTACCAAACAAGTTGCAGGGGAAAGAGCGCCAATTCAGCAGGTGAGCAGGGATTGGGAGAAGGCAAAGGGTGCATTTGGGATCAATACCTTCAAAGGTGTGCTGGTCTATGATGAGTAGATTGTGCACTTCCACCTCCTCGCCAAAGGAGGTCTCATGTGGGGCAGTGCTGCTAGAGAACAGCTTGCTGGAGCTGACACTGCTGGACAGGGCCTGGGATAGAGAGAGATCAATCTTACCTTCATGCTACTTGCAGTTGGGCTGGGGCACTTGAAGAACAGAGGGAACAAACAAGAACAGGAAAGCTCAAAAACCAAAGCAGAAGCATGGAGACAGACAAAATCTAACCCCTGAGAAATGAGACAGGTCTCTTGCCCAAGTGGGCACCAGGTGTGGGAGAACCGTCCTGTGGGCAAAATCAGGATGCACCAGCTCAGGAACAGGACTGGACAGGACAACACAAGAGCACATTTTGTGCATGACTATGGAGGAAAGAAGGAGGTATAACAGCTACTACATGACCCTTCAAAGTCCTCTGAAGCAGCAGAAAGACTCTGTTACACCTACTGATCGGAAAGGCTCTGGCCTCAGCCATAGGAAGAGAAGAGCTCAAAATGTAGTGGGTGTGGCAGGACACTTTTGGTGCCTGCCACTTCATGGGCCTGAGCAGGCAGCAGAACGTTGCCAATCAGGAGAATCACGTGGCCAGCAGGAGGCTGCTTGACTGGAAGGAGGGCCTAGCTGCTAGAGAATAAGAGCAGGCCCTGAGCAGTACAGCCAGCCATTGCTGCAGGGAGCCTGAGGCAGAGCATTGCCTGGCTGGAGCTGCTGCTCTCAGAACACCTGGAAGTCAAGGGTAGGAACTAGGGGGATGGAAAAGGGTCCCAGTCCTGGGGAATGACCTAAAACTACACACTGCTGGGGTTGAATGGTGTGGTAGGGGTGCTTGTGGCAGGGCAGTTTCCAGGAAATGCTGCATCTGTACCTCCCCAGTGCAGGGCGAGTATGGGGCACCAGAAAGTCTCAGCCCCCGCTGCGTTGCAGGTACTCTGTGGAAGGGAAAGGCTAGAGGAACAGAAAAGCACAGGGGCCCAGACCCACTGAGTGGGGCCTGACGCAGGGCCCAGGCATGTCGACAGACACCTCAGGCCTGAGTGGGCCGTAGGTCAAGAGTGACAAAACACTTGAGAGAGCCACATGGACAAGCACCTGAGGTCTAAGAGGCGTAAGGCCCTGCAGCCCCAGTGAGGGGGTGGAATAGTGGCCGACAGCCGTGTAGAGCAGGGCCTTATGGGGCCTGAAGGACTGCATATGGGCTGACTGGAGTAGCTGGAGTTCAGGTCCCAGTGAGGGGGTGTGAGTTGAGGCCCAGGCATGTCTGAGGATACCTAAGACCAAGCTGGGCCAGGTAAGGGGCCAGGGGAGTAATAGTAGATTTTGGATGCCATCTGTGAAGCATGGGACACAGTATAAAGGGAGGATCAGAGAGCCGTGTATAATGCAGGAGGGCTGCCCATTTTATACCCCGATGCCTAGGGCATTATTACATCTGGTATCATTATTTCAAGGCATGGCAGGAAAGACAGGGCAAACTTCCCTAGACAGGTGACCGGCCTCAAGACAGCCCCTTGTTACAGTGGGGATGAGAGATTGATGGGGCAAAGTCTGGCAAAACCAAGGTGATCAAAGGAGCAGGACTAAGAGAATGGAACTGTTGGTGTCAGATAGGCCAGGTGTGCCAGAGATAGAACAATTTAGAGAGGCAGAAGGATCTAGCCATCAGCTCACCCAGCCAAGAGTCTACCCATCAGAGGAAACTTACTACCCCACCTGCTTCCCACATTGCCCTGGGGAGACCATGAACTTAAGGTTTGAGATAATCAGACTACTAAGCAAGATACATATGGGTTGGGCAGCCTCAGTACCAACAATCCCAATTTCAGCAACTCAGCTCCCTAAGACCACAGGGCTTCCAAGAGCTTCCTCTCACCTGGGTGCTGGCACTGGGTCTAAGTGCAGTGGTGCCCCCACTGGCATCCTGTACCTCAATGCGACTTGAGAGTACGCCAAAGCACTGAGACACCTCCTGGTAGCAGATCTTCCTACAGGACAAATAAAGCAACTGATGTGAGAAGGAGAAACTCAGTGAGAGGGAAAGGGACAACTGTCCCTTCCTGGGACAGTTAGTCAGTCACTTGAGGAGAGCATTTTGTTCCCTTCTTCCCTTATTTCCCTGGTTGCTCTCTGAGCTTCAGCTGCCAAGCCCACTTCCATACCTTAGGGTAAAAGCAGTCTGCAGAGCTCACCTCTTTCCTCAGAGGAGTCACCTCACCTCTCCTCTTCATGTACAGGGCTCAGACACCAAAACCTCACTGCTTACCTGGGGGATTCATACAGGGGAACTGTACGGATATGCAGCTTCTGGATCTCATCAATGGTGCCGATTGTCAGGGTGCTGTTGTTGGCTAATGCCAGGCTGTAAGGGGTGGAGACTGTCAACAAGGGGTCTTATAAGGCAAATACCCATGGAGGAGGGATCCCTCACTCCAAGGAGTCAGGGGCTATAGGACTCCTCCCCACTTTGATGATTACAGAAGAATTGCAAGAACAACTGAGCACTGATCTCTCAACACTAAGGATTATCCCCATCCCTGGAACAAGCAAGAGAATTTAAGTCTAACAAGGGGAGGCATAGGCATGTAACGGTGAGTGTGAGACCATCTGGATAACACAGGGGAGAGGGTCTTCTGCCTAGCATCTCTGGAGAAGCTGGGACTTATGTTATTACACATAAGTGATTAAGTGGAAAGGGTGAGTTGACAGCACTGTAGATGAGCTTCTCCTTTCCATTCTCCACTGAACTGCAGGCCATGCTGGGGAGACAGCACTCCCCAAATGGGCCATGACTCTACTACCTTTGCATCACTAGCTCAGATAGAAGAAAGTTGCTCGGTTTCTTCAAGGATCCAAAAGCCCCCCACCCCAGCATGCAAGAGGGGCACCACTTACCTGTCAGGGTACCCATCTGAGTTGAGGGGGCACATGTAGTTCACTTCCTTGAGGTTGACATTGGAGAAGACCAGCTTGTGGTTGCTGCTGTAGATCACGGTGGGGCGATCAGAGCAGGCAAAGACATTGGTGGTGGAGAGAGAACGGAAGGTCCTTAGGACAGTGGGCTGGGTACCTAAGGTCACCTTCTTACGGTCACTCAGCAACCCTACAGAAAAGAAGCAATTCTTGCTGGGATCAGTCCTTCCAGAGTGGAGAGGGAGCAGGAGCTTTCAGATGCAAGGTGACAGCATGGCTCAGTTGTAATGTATGCTGGCAGGCAGAGACCCACCCAGAGCCCAGCGACACCCGAGTTAGCCTGCTGCTGGCAAAAGGCAACCGTCAAAGGGTCTGACATAACCCAGACATCATAGGAGTCCAGTGAGGGCCTCTAAAGAAGGGCAACTCCCTCCTTCAAAGAACAGACCACAAAAGCTACTTTTCTACTGCAACAGGAACCCAAATGACTCTGAAGGTCTTGGCAAAACAATCAGCTCTTCAGATTGCTCAGAGATTTCAGAGTTGTTACCAAAAGGCAATACTCATGCCGTCTTACCTGAATGTGACATTAGCAAACAGGAAAGAGAAGAGGGACTAGGACTAGAGAAAGGGTTTGGAACAGAAAGGAGTGTTAAAAGCAGCCATGGCAGAGGCAGATAATTATTTGGGCAGGGGGCCATTTACGGAGTTTTGGCAAGCTGTCAAGGGCCGCATGGATAGCCCCGCTCCTTGACAGGTGCCCTGCCCCCTGGCTGCCATCTTGTGACTAGAAGTCCTGTCCCCTAGACCCTGACCTTTGCCACCAGAAATCCCTCCCCTTGCCCCCAGAAGTACTCATTTCAGTTTTGCTGTCTTGCAACCAGAAAAATACCAAATTATATTCTAAAAAGCAAACATCTATTTTTTTAAATCAAATTAATGAATGTTGTATTTTTGTCCTGATTTACATGCATTTGTGTAGTGCACAATAGCTTAAAATGAAGTCTTTTGCTTGTATATTAATGGGGGACATGGGGAGTGGGTATAGGTTTGTAGGGGGGTGTGGGGGAAGGGGTGTCGGGGTCTGCATGTATGGCAGT